CCCCCCATTTCGAATTTCTCTCTTTTTCGTTTTCACACAATGGACTCCCTCTTTTCGATGACACGGTCGAAAACGCATGCCTCGACATCGATTCGATGGGAGCTACTACTACTACTACTACTATTACTACTACTACACTACTACTACTATTACTAGTACTACTACTACTACATCTTCCTATTTTCCGGTTCATATCGGCAATCGAAAAAGATAACGTCGTTCTTCGAGACAAAAACTTAGTACGATTCGACGACGAGAAGCAAAAAAAAAAAAAAAAAAAAAAAAAAAAGCGTCAAGTTTTATTGTGTATGTGGAATTTTGCGACAGATTCACGCGGTAAAGATAAGGCAAAGGCAAGTCGTCAGTTAGAATCGAACTTAGAAGGAAGGACAACAACAACAACAACAACAACGACAACGACGACGATGACAACGACAGCAACATCAACTACGACGCCGACGATGACAACGAGTTCGAGCACGATGGCTGTGTCGATAAGTGACGATAACGATATCGTTTCGAGTAATAATGACCGATGGTCCAACGTGAATATCGATAGGAAAATAAAGAATTCGTTAAAATCACCATGGCGGGACGAAATGGAATGTGAAAGTGACGTAAATTTTTGCGATAGATATCACGAATCACCGAACGTTTTCGAATTGGTTCGCGTCGAGGATATCGCGGCGGATCGTATTATTCGTCCAAAGAGATTATCGCGCATCGAAAATATTTGGAGGACTAACGATTTGTCTGGAAACGTGAGCGAGAGAGGAAACCCGTATTGTCGGATGGATAACCGTGCGCAGCGATTTAAACGAGCCACAAGCAGTGGGAAAAAGTATCATTGGTCCGGAACTTTCAACGATCGCGCGAAAAGATTCTCATCCGTCGATAACGGAATATTCACCTATGCGAAAACTCGTCGTTTCTCTAGCAACGATCGCGACATCATTGCCACGGATTCGAATTACGATTACAATTTGGATGGGTTCGATGACGAGAAGACCGTCAAGAAGAAATTGTTTCGCTGCGATAAATTCAACTTTACCGACGAAAGAAGCAGCGCGAGACATTTGCTCGATCGTCGATCGTCATTAGATTTTTTCGAAGAAAGATTTAACATACCGCGTGGAGAAGAGGGAAATCATCGTCATCGTGGTCATGGTTCTCATCGACGAAACGGAACGATCGAACAACGAGGGAACGAGAAAAGTGAAGAGATCTTCGACTCGGCGAGCTCCTCCGACCGCGTCGATAACTACGATCCCGATCAATCCACCATTATCGATCGATATAAACTCACCCTCTCCACCGTGTACGTTCGTAAACATCGTTGGACATCGATCAACGATCAATCCAAAATCATAGTTTGCAATTTTGTGTCATTTTTCAAAGATATTATTCTTTTTACTTTTTTACCCAGCCTGTACATAGCAATTTTTATTTACGCGAACAGAACGGAGGAGGGATAAGTTTTCGATAACGCGTTCTTCC